TAGATAGCTTTTATCAAAACTGAGGTTAACAAAATTTGTACTTTGGAATTTAATGGCCAAGATATCATGAAACTAACAGCCTATAAAAAATTCTCAAGATATCAAACATCTGTAGGGCGTAAAGAGAAATTAGTGAACTGTCAGGTTTAAAGATTCTACTGACATAATCTACTTATCTAAAAATATCAAATCTAGAGCAATTTCAACTTCAGAGGTTATCTTATGGCATACTTCTACAAGTTACTTTTAACAACATTACTGTACTAAGTACCTCTTACACTGAACTAGAACTTCTAGTCTACTTCAAGTGCAATTATGTAACATATTCGATATAATTGTGAATATATTGCACACCCCTTCTCACCATGCATCCAGTGAATCTGATTAAAACAAGATAACTGAATATAATTAGACTTGATTATTGATAACTCTTTATCCTCAAAATTATATTACATCTAAAGATATATTTCATTTGTCTAAATTTTCAATGTGTACCTAATTCTATGATATAATAATTTGAGAGTTTCAATGTAGTATTACTGTATTGAATGAGGAAAAGCTAAACACTTAGGTTTTGTTATTCAATAATCAGTAGGCCTATCACTAGAAAATATCAATATAATTCTGGTCCAAGGCAATACATAAAAATAACAAGTATAAGAACATCATACAAATTAATAGTACAAATGAAAATTGATAACAATACAAATTGAAAATCACAAATACAAAGCATAATAGTAACAGAAGAACAATTGTTATTCAAGCATCACACTTGCAGTCCATATAGCCCTTTCTTACATTTCATAATGCTATTTAATGAAATATAGCCATTCCAATCAAACTTTATAAACAAACAGTTGAAGTCTGTCAAGTTATCACAAGATGAAATCAAAGTGATAGTTTGAAATTGTTATGATTATTGTCTTGACTCATTCACCAATAGCCCTGTCTTGTTGTGGGAATTATTAACACTATAACATAAGATATAAATCTTTATTTATAAATATTTATATAACAGCAAATCAAACCATCTGTAAATTATTCTAGGAGGTAAAATATCCTAAATACTTCACGTTAAATTTATTATCTATTGCCTGGAAGCTAAGCCCAACTTAAATTTCATAGCAGGTGCATTGCACATTTTCTTTAGAAAAGTTTTGTTTTTAAGTCCTTCCGATCCATTAATGGCATCATTTAATTTATTTACGTGCTATACAACCAAGATCATATGGCCAAACGATTAAAAATGGAGGCAGCATCACATTGGTCCTTATTTTATGAAAAACTTGATTTTATTTATTGTCATGTCACGTCAAAGATTTCTTTTTAAGGTTTATCCTCATGAGTGCAAATGATTATCTGGTAGCTTAACTAAAATCAAAGCACTGAAATCAGTATCACAAAAGCTGATAAAAAAAATTATATTTAAGGACCTTTGTGCTAGTGACATCATAGAGTAGAGTTGAATCGCAACCACAGATTTCTAACTGAAAATTAGAATTTGCAAATTGATGATATCAGTGTCCCCAATTCACATAAAAGGTTTAGAAAACTTTTTTACAATCCCTTTAACAACACAGGAAACTTATTACAGTTATTCTGAATAAATCTTATAGAGCAATAAACTTCACTGAGCAGTCATCTTAGTGTGTAAACTTTACAAGATCATATCTTGATGGAGAAATATTTCAATAATTGTGCTATTGTATCCTTGACTGCAAATCCAACTCTGTAGATGTGAGAAATTTGTCAAGATGTTTTTTGGTATGTGCATTTTATGTGCAACTTGAACTCTGTGAAACAAAAATTAAAGCCATTGAGCTTTGGGGGTGATGATATCAGACCATTTATTTTTCATAATGAACAACCATTGTTCATATACAATTATTAACTTGAAATGAAATGAATGGAGTTTTACGTACTTCTTTTCCTATTAATTTGAGAAAAAAGAATAATGACTTCTCAAATCCCTGTCTCTTACATACAGATGACTGCATCTTACACCTCAGATGACTGTCTTTCAGATCACCGTCGTTAAGACTTCAGATCACTGTCAAGATCACTATCTTTTCTCAAATCACTGTCTTTCATATCTCAGATCACTGTTTTCATACTCAGATCACCGTCTTTCAGACCTCAGATCACTGTTATCATACCTCAGATCACTGTTTTCATACCACAAATCAGTTTTCATACCTCAGATCAGTGTCTTTCAGACCTCAGATCACTGTTATCATATCTCAGATCACTGTTTTCATACCACAAATCACTGTTTTCATACCTCAGATCAATGTCTTTCATACCTCAGATCACTGTTTTCATATCTCAGATCACTGTCTTTCATACCTCAGATCACTGTTTTCATATCTCAAATCACTGTTTTCATACCACAAATCAGATTTCGTTAAGATTTCATATCACTGTCAAGATCACTATCTTTTCTCAAATCACTGTCTTTCATATCTCAGATCACTGTTTTCATACCTCAGATCACCGTCTTTCTGATCAGATCACTGTTTTCATATCTCAGATCACTGTCTTTCATACCTCAGATCACTGTTTCATATCTCAAATCACTGTTTTCATATCTCAGATCACTGTTTTTTCATACCTCAGA